TCTGAATAGCCAAAATTTCTACCTAGCTCTATTATTTATGCCTTTTAAATAATGTTGTTAGAAATGACTCCTTTATAGCCTTTTAGCTTATTTATGACCTTGGGTTATCATTTTTAACATCACTACAACACAAAATTGAACTACCCTCATGGCCGCCTTCTTTTTTTTGAGACAGAGTCTTGCTCTGTCAACCCGCTGGAGTTCAAAGGCATCCTCATAGCTCACTGCATCCTTGAACTCCTAGGCTCAAGGATCTTCCTGATTCAGCCTCCCTCAGCCTCCCGAGTAGCTAGGACTACGGGTGCACGCCACCACACGCAGATAATTTTTTCAAATTTTTTTTGTAGAGACGGTGGTTTTGCTATGCTACCCAGGCTGTCTCCAACTCCTGGCCTAAAGCGATCCTCCCACCTTGGCCTCTTGGAATGCTATGATTATAGGAGTGAGCCACCGCGCCTGTAATGAATGAATGTCTTCTAAGCTTCAGATGTACTTTCCTTTACATATCTTACATCCCCAGCCTTCCCCTTAAAATTCTCTACCTTTTTATAATATTAATCCTTTAAATCTTCTGTCCCCAAACCGGACCGGTACTGTTAGGGACCACAGCATCAGAGCTCCGCTGCCCACCCAGTCCATGGAAAAATTGTCTTCCATGCAACGTAGGAACGGGAGATGCGGGTAGGGTGGGGCAAAGCTTCATCTGTATTTACAGCTGCTCCCCTCTCCATTGCCTGAGCTCTGCCTCCAACCACCCCCTCCTTCATCCGTGGAAAAACTGTTCCATGAAACTGGTCCCTGGTAACAAAAAGATTGGGGAACCGTTGCTTTAAATGGTACTCAAAAATGGCAAGATACCAGCTTGATAGTTACATGAATAAGGGGATAGGAGGAAAAAATTCATGTCCATTATCATAGGGAGCAAAGGCTCCTTTCTTCCTTTTTAGCCATCTCTTACAAGGGAAGTTAATATCCCTTTCATCACAATGAGGCACTAACAAATTCAATTTCACGTTAGTCACAATAACTACGTATACTTTCTTCTTCACTGAACTATTTGAACTGACTCTAAACTTTGCCCATAGATAAAATAAGGAAGTCAAACACAGTATACTGTATAAGTGCACAAATTTCTGATTAGTGTCAATTACAATAAACTCAAAAGTCAACTGCCCATCAAGTCATCCATATAAAACCTTACCTTCACTTCTGGGTTTTTCATGTGCATCATACTCCCTTTGATTAGAGTAGCTCTCATTCAACACTTTGCTATTCAAGGGAGTTAGTGGCAGATAAGGCCCTCAAAGAAAATGCAACTCCAGAGGTGGGGAACTGTGGCTTCTTAGTTTGAAAAGTGAATTCATCCCTCTAAGCTCCACCCCCACTGAAAAGTTAGTGCTGTCATTTGACAGAGAAGAAAATCTCAGCTAGATAGGAGAAAATTCAAATTAGAAATAGACCTTCTCTTCTTGTTTTGTATTCCATTATTTCCTAATTGAGTAAACTACTTACTGGGCTTTTATTATATACAAGACTCAGTAGGTTCAAGGTTCAGGGTGCTCACTATATATTTGAAGAGATAAAACATAAACACTGAAATAATGGTTCAAAAGTTAGATATTTTTTAAAAAGAGAGAAGACAGAATGTGATTAATTGCCAATAGCATAACAGAGGAAATGAGGACTGAATTTAGAGGGAGTGAAGTCTTTTAGCTAAAGGGGGTTTGGGAAGTTTCACAGAGAAACACTTGAGATTGGCTTTGAAGAAACTGCATAAATGGACTAGATGGAGAGATTCAACACCGTATTTATTTTAGACTGGCATGTTTATTAGTTGCCTTCATACCTAATCATAAACGTCTCAAAGATTTAACTGTGTTTATCACAAATCCTCCTTCCACTCCCTTCCCCAACCGCACATTCTAACCACATTATATTTCTTTTAGACACTCTCTATACCTCCAAGCCTTCACACATGCTGATTCCTCTGCTTATAACAGTTTTCCTCCGTTTCCTCACTTTCCATCCCCTTCAGATGTTCTTTCCTAGCTAACTCCTCCCATTTTTGGGGGTTCTAT